GTCCTTGAAAGAGCTCTCTCAGCCCCGCCTACCTCACAGGGTGTCTGTTGTGGGGAGGGGAAGGGAAAGGCGTTTGTAAGCCGCTCTGAGATTCCTTTGGGTAGTGAAGGTTGGGGTATAAATCCAATCTCTTCTTCTTGTATTCAAGGATGTTGACTGGAGTGAGTCATAGGGGCCATACCACTCCGTTCTTTTCCATTTACATTGATTCCCGATTTGCTTCTGGGCTCAATTCAAGGTGCTGCAAGCTCTACATGGCTTGCAGCCATCATACCTTAAGGACCGTCGTGTCCCATATGAACCATTCCATGCATCTTCACAGGGCCTTCTTCGGGTGCTGGTGCCATCTGAGGCCTGATGGGTGGCAACTGAAGAATAGGCCTTCTTTGTCAGGACGCAGGAGCTTTGGAACTCCCTCCCCAGGGAGATTAGTCTTTCTCCCCTCTAGCGTTGTCTTCCATGAAGACTTCTCTGTTCTGTTTGGCATTCCCTTGCTAACTCTTATTAGCTGTCCTCCCTGCTTCTGTGTCTGCTTAATTTTTAATGTATTTTATGTGTTTAGATTATGTTTTAAATATTTTATATATATTTCTATTTCAAATGCTTCTTAACACCTGAAATGTTTTAATGTCTGCTGCCTTGGGGGCCCCTAAAGTGCGTGGAAAGGTTTTAAATAAATGGAAATAAACAGAAATGTTTTAAGTAAATCAACAGCATTAAAAAAAAAAAGAATTCTCCCCTGCTGCAATTCTTAGCAGCCTTACATTCAGCATGGGTTCTGTAAGGGAAGATCTTGTCTCACTAACCTGTTAATGTTCTTTGAGGGGGTGAACAAATATGTGGACAAGGGGGATCCAATAGATATTGTTTATCTTGACTTCCAGAATGCTTTTGATAAAGTTCCTCATCAAAGGCTCCTAAGTAAGCTCAAAAATCATGGGATAAAAGTCCTTTTATCCCATGATTTTTGAGCTTACTTAGGAGCCTTTGATGAGGAAGTCCTTTTATGTATCCTGTAAACCGCCCAGAGACCCCTAGGGGTATGGGCGGTATAGTAAGTGGAAATAATAAATAAATAAATAAATAAAAACTGGCTAGTCCTTTTATGGATCAAAAACTGGCTAATTAACAGAGAGTGAGTATAAATGGGCAATTTTCTCAGTGGAGGGTGGTAAGCAGTGGGGTACCGCAGGGATCAGTACTCGGTCCAATGCTTTTTAACTTGTTCATTAATGATTTGGAGTTGGGAGTAAACAGTGAAGTGGCTAAATTTGCGGATGATATGAAGTTGTTGAGGGTGGTGAAAACCAATGAGGATTGTGAGGCACTCCAAAGGTCAAGGATGGACAAGTGGGCGTTAACATGGCAAATGGGGTTCAATGTGGCCAAGTGCAAGGTGATGCACATTGGAGCCAAAAATCCTAAATATAAATACACGTTGATGGGGTCTGAACTGGCAGAGACTGATCAAGAGAGAGATCTTGGAGTTGTAGTAGATAACTCACTGAAAATGTCGAGACAGTGTGTGACTGCAATAAAGAAGGCCAATGCTATGCTGGGGATTATTAGGAAGGGTATTGAAAACAGATCAGCCAATATCATAATGCCCCTAAATAAATCAATGGTGAGACCTCATTTGGAATACTGTGTGCAGTTCTGGTCACCACACCTTAAAAAGGATATTATAGCTTTGGAAAAAGTGCAGAAAAGGGCAACTCGAATGATAAAAGGGTTGGAACACTTTCCCTATGAGGAAAGGTTAAGGCCCTTAGGGCTCTTTAGCTTGGAGAAACGACGACTGAGGGGTAACATGATTGAGGTTTATAAGATTATGCATGGGAAAGAGCAGGTAGAGAAAGAGGTACTTTTCTCCCTTTCTCACAATACAAGAACTCGTGGGCACTCCATGAAATTGCTGAGCGGTCGGGTTAGAACGGATAAAAGGAAGTACTTCTTCACCCAAAGAGTGATTAACACTTGGAATTCACTGCCACAGGAAGTAGTGGTGGCTACAAGCATGGACGGCTTCAAAAGGGAATTAGATAAGCATATGGAGCAGAGGTCCATCAGTGGCTATTAGCCACAAGGTATAGCTAGGGACTCTGGGGCAAGTGATGCTCTGTCTTCTTGGTGCTTGGGGGGGGGGTGTCAACAGTGGGAGGGCTTCTAATGTCCTGGCCCCACTGGTGGACCTCCTGATGGCACTGGTATTTCTGGCCACTGTGTGATACAGAGTGTTGGACTGGATGGGCCTTTGGCCTGATCCAACATTGGCGTCTCTTATGTTCTTACATTAGACAACCTTGAAGGCCTCCACACTGGAATCTGTTAGAAGATCTGTAGGAATGAATGAGGCCGGCATCAGTGGAGGGCAGGGTTGCCAACTCTAGCTTGGGAAATTCCTGGAGATTTGGGGCTTGTGCCTGGGGCAGGTGGAGCTTGGGGAGGAGGGAGCTCAGTGGCAAGATGATGTCACTCTAGGACTTTTGTTTCTCCCAGACTCTATTGTAAACCACGGAATCTTCCCACTGAAGCCATAATTTCCTCCAGGGGAACAAATCTCCAGACCCCACCTAAAGGCTGGCAGCAGTAGGTGGCTGGCATTTCAAATGTTTTTGCGTGTGTGAGAGAGAATATTTGTGTGTGTATGCCTGGAAGTCACGGTCGACTTCTGGCGACCCCTAGCGGGGCTGGGACGTTTCAGAGAGGTGGCTTGCTATTGTCTGCCTCTGTGTCCCAGCCCTGGTATTCCCTGGAGGTCTCCCATCCAAGTACTTGCCAGGGTCGGCCCTGCTTAGCTTCCGAGATCTGATGAGATCGGGCTTGCCTGGGATATCCAGATCAGAGCGATCAGTGACCTTTTTACTGGCAAAGTTTATTTATTTATTTATATCTTAGGCTTGATATACCGCCCTAACCCCCAGGGGGGTCTCTGGGCAGTTCACATATTTTTGCGTTCTAAGAACTTGTACTCCTAACTTGGGCCACATCTAATGTTTGGGTGGGACTGCCGACCAGCACCCTGGTGGTGGGATTCTTGATGGTCTCTCTGTCTGCTTGCTCGGCTTCGGCGTCTAGCTCGGTCTCTCCCATCGGCGTCTAGCTCGAACTCTCCCACCGGCGGCTGGGTCGACACGGCGTCCTCTTGATCTTCTTGGTTGCTGGCTCTGCACGGCGTCCCTTAAGGCCTCCGATGTTCCCACGGCAACTGCCGTCAGGACTGCGCAGGCGCACCGCTTGTGTGCGCTTCCGGCCCCAGCTCCGTCCATCAGGCACCGCCGTGCCTGCGTCATGTCACCGTGCGTCTCCCGCCTCCGCCGTTGCTGCCGCCTGATGTTTTCTCCACTCGGCCACCAGGGATCGCTCCACCTCTGCCAGCTCTCGCCGCCGCCGCCGATATCGCGCCGCCATCCATGCCGTCCGAGACACCACCACACGTCCTCCTCAAAGGTGGGTGCCCCCTACCCATCTAAGGGTAGGTACCCATTTGTCTACTCGCATTGTTGGTGTTACTTGCTTTCGAGCCGCTGGGTTGGCGGGAGCTGGGACGAAGGCCGGAAGCTCACTCCGGCCGCGGTGGGTCTCGAACAGCCTTACAGGCTGTTCGCTAGATGTTAAGGCAGGTGTTTTTACTTCCTGCGCCACCGCAGGGAGTTGTAAGTAGTCATTTCTAGTTCCCAATTCTGCAGAAAATAGATGTCCTACCACTGAGCCACACCCCCTCCCACACCTCACGTTTATGTATGCTTGTGTGTTCAAGAAAGTAAAGTTCCTTATCTCTGTGTTGTCTTATCTCTGAGTCCTCTCTGTGAAGAATGACTGTAAACAACTGAGGCAACTTGTATATTCTGAAGGGTATTGCTGCTGGGCTTCCCAGTTCTCACTGTCAGATAGATTGCTTCTTCTGCTTGCTGCGCCACTCTGATACAGCTCATAAACTCGAATGCAAGAGAACTGCTGGCTACTGCTGAATGAGCTTTATTGCCTTAGGCTCCACGCCTGCGGCAAGAGGTGCCAGCCTGCTTGGCCTACCGCCTCTCCACATGGAAAGTTCACGTATTCAGGTTTGCTACTTGCAGAATGTAAGCACAAGCGATGCCTTGCATGTGTGAGTGGACCCTTGGGGTGATTAACAGATCTCAACATCACCTTGCAGGAGCCCACAGAAAAAAGGAAGTTGGCAGCTGTATCATCAGGGAAGCAGGCAAGGCGACTAAGCCAGCCTGGCAGCAAAAGGCCCTTGTTGGAGCTGAGGATGGGCGGCCAGAGGAGGAGATATTGGGAGGTCTCATCCCAAGCCACCAGGCATGCATGGGAGGAACCAGGCGAATATATCCTGGAGAGGGTGGGGTCTGGCCGTCCCCCATTAGTTACCTCTGAGGAGGTGGAGCCAGAGTCATATGGGGCCAGGGCCAGGGATCTTATAAAAGGGGAGCTCCCAGACCAGGCTGGTGAGGAAAGAAAGGGCTGAGCCCTCAGAGCAAGAGAGACCCAGTCCTGGGAAGGAAGAGGAGCTGGGTGATGGAACCCTCTCTCCTTCCCATTCTGAGGCATGAAGAAGAAGAGGAGGAGACTGGATTTATACCCCGCCCTTCACTCGGAGTCTCAGAGCGGCTTACAGTCTCCTTCCCCTTCCTCTCCCCACAACAGACACCTTGTGAGGTAGGTGGGGCTGAGAGAGCTCTCCTGAGAACTGCCTTTGAGAGAACAGCTCCAAGAGACGTTGTGACTGACACAAGATCACCCAGCTAGCTGCATGCGGAGGAGTGGGGAATCAAACCCGATTTTCCAGATTAGAGTCCACCGCTCTTAACCACTGCACCAAACTGGCTCCAACCCTGTCTGTCCAACCCTGAGCAGGATGGCAGAGGGCAGGAGGGAAGAGCTGGTGTGGGAGAAACTTCACATCAGGACAGCATTGGTTGTAACTACTAAAGCGAGCTCATTACCATTTAATCTCATAGAATCTAATAGGGTGGTGCAAGAAGATAATGACTCACTGCAGCAGCCCGTGCCAGTTGTACGGAGCACAAGTTCCAGGCTTCATACTGTGCTGTTCCCGACTGAATCAGCGTCTGAAGCTTGATTGCTGCGTTTTCTACCATCCTGGGAGCAGATGTGAAAAAAATGTGTGATGCCTATAAAATGGTGCATAACAACTCTCAAACATACGTGCAAGTATTTGTAATTCATTCCCTTTTTTTAAAAGGCTCTTCACAGCAGAAAGAGTGGCCCAGTCTATACGTGCAGTAGAATAAGGTGGCAGAATTCTAGATGGCTCCACTGCAGACTTATACCATTGGTAAATGTTCCCCAATACAGAATACTTGCCACAAGTTACAAAAGAGCCCATCATGTCAGAGAGAGGGCTAGGCTAAAACTTTCTCCCCAAAGTGCTACTTGTAGGGATTTTAAAAAAGAAATACATTGAGAATTCAAAAAATGGATGCACCCCTGCTTACAGTCTGAAGTAGCTCAATTCAGCCTACTATCTCTGAACTCTGCAACTTCCTTCTGCTGCCTGTGAACACTAGGCCATGAGTATATCAGTTTCCACAGAGAGCCCTCCCCCCCCCCGCACATAACCCCAAGGCACCCAGAGAGTGTGGATCTGAACCATCTGTGACATTACACTGGCTCATTTTTGTGTCCTATTTTCCTCCAACCAGTTTAAGATAGAGTTTTAAGCTCAACACAGCCTTGGGAGGCAGGGAGGGTTGCCACCTCTGGCTTGGGAAATACCTGGAGATTTTGGGGGTGGCGCCTGGGGAGGCTGGGGTTTTGGGAGGGAGACAGACTTCAATGGGGTATAATGCCATAGACTCCGCCTTCCAAAGCAACTGTTTTCTCCAGACAGACTGATCTCTGTTGCCTAAAGATCAGTGTTATTCCAGGAGATCTCTAGCTACCACCTGGAGGTGGCAGCCCTAGAGGCAGGTGAAATGGGGGGGGGACCCACAGTGACCCAGCTGCTGAGCTTGACAGCCGGGCATGGGTTTCACACATTCAAACATAATGTCCCAACAACAGCCTCACCCTGATTCTCAGAAATCAGCAGAATGCCTTCAGACAGGGCCAGATCGCCATGGCAACTTACACTAGCGGGGTGCCATTTTACAAGCTCTCCACTGACTTCCAGGCTCAGTTTGAGGTGCTTGTTCAAGCTGGACTGGGCAATGCAGACTCCGTTTCCCATTCAGTTGAACTACCTCACAAGATTATGAGGAAAAAGTGAGGGAAGGGAGCCTTAGAGGGGATCAAAATGAGACAGATCTCTCAAAGGCAGAATGAGAGCACCCTTGTGTACAAAGTCAAAAGGAGCTATGGCTCATAGAAGCATTCTCAGCAGGTGGTCTCAGATGCACAGGTCCCCTTCTCCTGTGCTTAAAGAGTAACGCTGAGCATCTTTCAGAAGCCCGCTTTTATTTGGATTAGTTGGTGATAATGCAGGTGGTATTTTTAATACGCGTCAGGTTTTGCTTGTTTTGGGCCAGGTTGGTGTGGTGGTTAAGAGCAATGGACTCTAATCTGGAGAACCGGATTTGATTCCCCACTCCACCCCATGAAGCCTTGGGTTAGTCACAGTTCTTTCAGAGCTCTCTCAGCCCCCCAAAACAAGTCTAGCTCGCCACTAGCATAACGCTAAGAGCTAGAACTTGCAGCTGCCAGACAACCTTAGGATCTCCTGGCGATTCTACACACAATGCCATATGATAATTAATTAATTTAATTTGCGTCTTTCAATTTAACTAGCTTTTTAAGCAAGAAAACACAGCAACCGTGCCTCAACTTTATTATTAACTACAGGACTACCTCACCCGTCCCTCCAAGGAGGTTGGGCAGCAACTCGGTTTCATGACAACCCTGTGAGGTTGGTTAGGTGAAGAGGCAGTAACACAGTTCAGAGCCACCCCACTTCTTATCACTTCACTCTTGCTCAGCTATTGTGTCACCCACATCTGTGCCTTTAGAACAGGCTGGGCCCTAAATCCCAATACACATGGGGCTGTCTTTACACCCACCTGAAGGCTCTCTGCTTATACGCTTCAGTGTAAATATCTGGATTTAGGAAATCTCTTTTCTCCTGGGCCCTGCATTTCCCAGAGCTCGTGGAAGATAAGTAAGCAACTGATGAAGAAAGGGGTTGTCCAGCCTTCGCCATCCCAAAGCATTTTATGAGAAACCTGATGGCAGATAAAAGAGTCACATCATTTTTCACGCTTCTTAATGTATCCCATCTCTTTTAAAAAAACCACTTATTTTTTCAGCTGTAAAAAGCAGGCATGCAAGTAAGAGTCAGATTCTGGAAGCTCATAATATAGATAACTTGAAAACTAGGTAATTAATTGGTAAGGGAAGATGAGAATGGACATTTAAGAACCTGCAAGCTATGACCTTATTATACAAACTCTACAGCAGTGGTTCCCAACCTTTTCGGTATGGTAACCCACAAGTCCAAATTTACTTTGTACCATGACCCTTCCAGGGCTGGCCCAATTTTATTTTTATATCCTAGGCAGACTATGACATTGGCAGCCCTCTGTTCCAGCATTCCATTTTCTATAGGGCCCAACCAGACATTTTAAGAAACCAACAAACACCACACAAAGGGTACAGCTGCCCCCACTATGAAACCCAAGGAAGTGGGAATTCATCTCTGGGCAAGAGAGCCGCCATTAGGGAGGGCTGGCCTATGACCCACTTTCAGAGGCTTTGCAACCCACTTTTGGGTCCTGACCCACAGGCTAATAAACACTGCTCTACAGGAGAATCCCTGGGAATTTTTGGAATAGGCAATGTCTGGTGTACAAAGGGGGCATGGGGCAGCAAGAAGACAATTAGATAGAATAGTGAGGTCAGCACCTTCCTTCCTTTTGAGTGTAATTCCTTGTCTGTCTCCAGATTGTTACTCTTAGGGCAACAGCCTGCTTCCACACTTAGTCTGACCATCTCAGCTAGAGATGTAGTTAGGATACGATCTCTGTCTTGCCTCTTTACTATCAAGTGTATCTGAATAAATGAGCAGGGACTTATGAGAGCTCATACTCTGCCACAAATTTTGTTAGTCTTTAAAGTGCTACAGGACCCTTGCTCTTTTCTACTATCAAATATATTAGTTCCTAAGGAAACCTTTATCTACACTTTAATCAGTTTGTGCACCTTTGCTGTGTTAATTACTCTGCCAATAGCAACTACTTTTTGGTCTTTTAGGAATGGGAAATTTACAATCCTCCTTATTAAGGAGATAACATATTGTATTCTGCTGAGGACAGAAAGATTGCAGTGATACTGGAGAAACACACAGTCTAGATTCTGCCCCCGCACACTTATTGCCTCACAATATTGTTTCATTACTTCTTATCTCCATCTCACTCAGACATAAAAAAACAAAAACAAATTATGCAATTTTCCTTTGCAAACATTACAAATCATGCCCTTGGAGCCTGTGTGACATTTTAGTCCCAGTCAAAGGACAACTTTCCTGATCCTCATAGAAGCCACACAGCAGGGCTGCGGTCACACACACTAAATAATCCACTTTCAATCCACTTTCCAAATGGATTTTACTGTGTGAACTGGCAAAATCCAGTTGGAAAGTGGACTGAAAGTGGATTATGTGTGTGTGACCACAGCCCAAGTGTTCTGACAGCTTTGATTCCCTCAGCGATTGAAAAGTTTGTGAACATTCTGTGCCGTAACATCAGCTCAGCCAACGGGAACCAGCGAGTTCAGCAAGATTACCTGGCTGTCTGCAGGAGGAGAACAGTGTTTTCCCCTTCATAAGTGCAAGATGCAACCAATTTAGTGTACAAGGAAGGCAGGCCACTGAGGAGAGAGTACCCGTGTCCTCCACAGGCCCTCCGACATATCTCCACACCTGCTGAGCTGTACTCTGTGGCGATCACTTTAATTCCAGAAGCAAGTGCATGAAGCTGCAACAAGGACAAAAAGTTTAAGACATTTAGGTATTTCTCTGAACAGGGTGAGCCTACAAAGAGTCCCTACAAGAAGAGTCTCCTATTGGTACAGTTTCTCCATTTCTGTATAATTTATATACATTCCTCCTACCAGGATTTTACTGTGTGAACTGGCAAAATCCAGTTGGCTGCCGGAGCTCATTAGCATAACTCATTAGCATAACTTATTTGCATATGCCACACCCCCTGACATCACCGGAAGTGACAGAAGGCCACACCCCCTGACATCACCGGAAGTGTGTCAGAAGGCCCGGCTACTTACCCTCCTGCTTCATCCTCATTCCCAAACGGAATGAGGATCGAAGCAGAGGGCGGGGTAAAGAAGGGGGCGGGGCTTCACCACGTGACCGCCCCGCCCCCTAGAGGTTCTCTTCCGGAGCTCCGTACCTGAGAGCTCCCCCCCGACTAGAGCCCTGCTTTTATACAATCTATTTGCACATGTCCCCTTATGCATCTGTGATATTCTTACTTGCCTCAAAATCTTTGGACAGGGTAGAGATTGAGATAAATAATACTTCTTTAGGATCCAGCCATTAATACTTCTTTAGGATCCAGCCAAAAATTATGCATATTAAAATTCAGAAACTCAGTGATGACCTTCTAAAAAAAATGCTGTTATATTGTTATTATTATTATTGCTACTTTCCAAACTGGAAAATAATACGACTTAAGAATGGATTTGGCTGGACCTTGCCCAATCTTGGAATCTGTGGTTTGTGACTGTGAAATAAACTTGCATGCAATTATACCATGGAACTGCAGGCAAACACTGAATGGTAATGGTTTGTATGGGGAAAACAGCTTCCAGACTTCTTTATTTACTTCCTTTATACCCCACCTTTCTCCCCAATGGGGACCCCCAAGGCAGCTTACATCATTCTCCTCTCCTCCATTTTTCCCTCACGACAACCCTGTGAGGTAGGTTAAGCTGAGAGAGAATGGCTGGCCCAAGGTCTCCCAGCAAGCTTCCATGGCACGAGTGGGGATTCAAACCCAGGTCTCCCAGATAGTAGTCTGATGCTCATAACCACAACACCACACTGGCTCTCTTTCTGCTTATCTCCTTTCATCCTGCTTTAGGTTCTACATTTTGTCTTTTCTAAGGACAAGTGTCTCACACCCATTCTCGGTGGAGTGATTACTCTTGCAATTGGAGCTTGTTTTGAATGGGTCTCTTTTTGTATCGTATTTTCCCCACCTTTCTATTGTGGATATAGATTATCTTGATGGATTTATGATCCAATACATCCGATGAAGTGAACTCTGACTCACAAAAGCGTATGCTGGAAGAAATACTAGTAGGTGCCACTGGATTCCTATTTTACTTTTTGGGGAGAAGGTCTGGTTATTTAATTGAGAAGCACCTAGAACAGTCCTCCTGAAACTGGAGCACTTCAGTCAGCAACAGAACACATTTGAAAGATTTCTCCGCATTAAAACCTCCTGCAGGTGAGAAGATGGCAGAACACCAGAGAAATGGGTTTTCATGTAGTCCCATGACCCTCACAACTTTTAAGGCTGAATCCCTATTTTATTTTAATTCATTTATAGCCCACCTTTCTCACTGGGACTTAAGGTGGATTACAAGTTAAAAAACTATGCAGGTGGATAGCAAATAAATCCTAGTGGGACTAGGATTGCAGAATTGGAGAACAGTGCAAATGAAGAATTGTCTAAGGCATGAAGTACCATAATGCAGAAAGTGAGCAAATCTTGCTTGGTTCTTTCTTGGTTTTGAGTGTGTGATAGCATTCAGTCATGCCACCCTTCCCCTCCCTCACAGTCTGAAGTGGTACACCCCAGGGGGAATAGACCACATGAGTTTTCTGCACATCAGAATCAGCTCTAGGTGCATGGTCATAAACACAGCCAGAACTTTCATAAAGGCTGCATTCAGACATGAACTTTCATAAAGGCTGCATTCAGACATGACACCTAACCAACATAAAGTCAACAGGTACATAAACCTGGGTTTTTGCTGAGCTTGAGTTTGAACACGCCTTGCTCCTCCCTCCTTATGTGGAGTACGATGAAAAAAATCTGAGTTAGAAACTAACTCTGGTTACCCACAATATACAAATACAGGTACAGAGTTAAAGCAGAATTAGTCTCCCACGGCCAAGCCTTAACTAGAGTTAGCAAAGCCCTACCTGTCCCCCAATCTCGTTTCATAAACCTGGGTTAATTTCTGGTCTGGAAACACTGCTGGTGAAGAAGAAAAATGTGCTGTTGAGTTGCAACCAACTCATGGCAACCCCATCCATGAGGCATGCCAGGCAAGAGAGGAACAAAGGTAGTTTGCCATCGCCTTCCTCTGCACAGCAACCCCAGTCTTCCTTGGTGGTTTCCCGTCCAACTATTGATCGTAGCCAACCCAAGCCCTGACAAGCCTGGGCAAAGCTGGGCTATCCGGGCTGCTATGGTTGGTGAGGAGTACACTAATTCCAGGTAACCCATACACCTCCATTCGTACATCATGGACAGCTGGAGTTAGTTTCTAACTGGGATTCCTTTGGCATTGCTCAGCATGAGTAAGGGTGGGGGGGAAGATGGCACACACACACACACGCCTGACAACTAACTGGGATTATGCACATGCAGGTTTAATGATGATATGTATGAAGACAGAGTGCAGCCATCATTCCACATCTCCTGGAGTGCTCTATCACCTCACAAGTAGGTTATTTTTACAAAATTATGTTGCCTTTCCACCTGATCAGGGTCCACAAGACCGCAAAGATAAACATTTGAGCCATTAAAAATACAATTAAAATTATAAAATAATTCAATTAAAAACACAGAAACAAGCAACCCCCAATGGAGGGCCAGTAACAGTTATTGGGGGGGGGGGGTACGCCAGACAAAACAAAAAAGGCTTCACCTGCTGGCAAAAGACACCAATAGAGGGAGACACACGGATCACCCTGGGGAGGAAGTGTCATGGCCGAGAAGGCCCTTTCTCAGATCACTGCCCGTCTAACTCCAAATGGCAAGGGCAGCCAAAGCAGGGCCCCTGAAGATGACCGGAGTAAGCAGGTAGGTTCATATGGGAGGGTGAGGTCATTACGTTGCTCCCACAGGCCATACAGTAGTTCAGGGGTCATTTCGTAGAAAAAGAGCTAGGGGAACTCATTAGCATAACTCATTAGCATATGCCACACCCCCTGACATCACCAGAAGTGTGTCATAAGGCCACACACCCCGCCCCCAACGGTCCCGGCCGCCACCGCCAGCCTTGCAGCTCCACTGCCGAGCCCCATGAGGGGCCCGGCGGTGGACCTGCAAGGCCGGTGGGAGTGCAAGGAAGCCCCGCAAAGGCCCTCCCTGGCCCCAGGCAGGCAGGGGTGGGGAGAGGCAGGGAGGAAGCAACTTACCCTCCCTCTTCTCCTGCCTCCTCCTGGCTGAATGAGGGCCAGAAGCGGGGCGGCCGGAAGCAGGGGGCGGGGCTTCGTCATGTTGTAAGCCTCTCTGAACTGCGATCCCCCGCGATCCCCCCCAAAATGACCTCTGCAGTAGTTTACCCAGTCAAATTAAATCAAACATGCCTGCATGTGTTATGTTAATTTTGAACATTTAAAAAGCATGCTCTGGGTCAGACTAAGAAAGCTGATTGAGGGCTGGGAGGGGGCAGGGAAATGAACAAAAAAGTTCCCTGTGTGAAAGCAAAAACTCAAGGCTCAGATCCCAAGCCTTGCTTCCGCTTGTGCTGTGTTGTAAGAGGCAGCCCTCTGCTAGAGTGCAGCATATTCCTCTGGAGCTGGGAGCTTCCAGTTGAGACCAGAGTCTGTTACGGAGCCGAGAAGCACCTCCCACCAGAGAAGAGTGACACAGAGCAGGGGCAACGCAAAACCAAGCCTGCCATTTTTTTTCAAGGATCACACTGCACAAACACCCAGGGAGTTTATTGCCCCCAGCTGACAATCATTCTTGTCCAGCTTCTGAGGATAACAAAATATCGTTGCTTTTCCCCTTCATATTACCTCTGGGAGTAAGTCGAATTTCCCTTGCTTGGTTTCTGCGTAGCCTCGGTCAAAGATTTCCTGTAAGTAGTCACAGCCGAAGTGGAAGGCGTAGGCCGTGGCCAGCTGAGGTAGCAGTTTCTGTTGCTGAGTCTGATAGTCAAGAATCTTTGGCTCTGGGTCCCTGTGGGGAGACGATCTGACTGGTTACCAGAGATGGAATGATGAATGGCGATCATTGGCGGAAGCAATTTCAAATTGCTGTGTTGAGAGAAGGACCTTATGCTACAGTGCTTCAAAGCTCAGGGGATTGACCAATCCCAGCTGCCTAACATAAGGAATAGTCAACCAATAGGCTATACTGCAGAGGGAAGTTCTCCAATCACTGCCTTGGCTGGTTTTCAAAAGGGTGGCTCTTAACACTCACTTCCACGTAGGGAGCCATTTGTCTGAAATGGCACCACTCTGTGTGAAGCAACCAAAACCTTCAGAACTAGAGGTTCCCCTCCCCTCAGATGGTACTGTTCACATGCCCTGACCCAGCTGGATCTTATCAGATCTTGGAATGTAAGTAGGGTTGGCCCTGGTTAGTATTTGGATGGCATACCACCAAGGAAGGGCAGGGCTGTTATGCAGAGGCAGGGAACGGCCATTCCACTCTTGCCTCGAAAGACCGATACTAGGGTTGCCATAAGTCAGCTGTGACTTGATGGTACTTCCACTGCCGTTATTCACTTGGAGGGTATTTTGGGCAGATGACTCCCTGTGTCAAAACAAACAAGGTGAAAAGCACCAGATACAAGTCAAAAAAAGGTAAAGGTTCCCTTGCTCGAAAGCCAGTCAAGTCCGACTCTAGGGTTGCGGTGCTCATCTCCGTTTCAAAGCCGAAGAGCCAGCGCTGTCCGAAGACGTTTCCGTGGTCATGTGGCCGGCATAACTAAACACCAAGGCGCACGGAACGCTGTTACCTTTCCACCGAAGTGGTACCTATGTATCTACTTGCAATTTCTTGCTTTCAAACTGCTAGGGTGGCAGGAGCTGGAACTAGAGACGGGAGCTCCCTCCGTCATGCGGCACCCGGGTCTCGAACTGCTGAACTGCTGGTAAACTACCTTTACCTTCACTTGGAGTCTCAGAGTGGCTTACAATCTCCTTTCCCTTCCCCTCCCCACAACAGACACCCTGTGAAATAGGTGGAGCTGAAAGAGCTCTGAGAGAACTGCTCTTGAGAGAACAGCTCTAAAAGAACTTGTGACTGACCCAAGATCCAGCAGCTGCATGTGGAGACGTGGGGAATCAAACCTGGTCCTCTCAGATTAGAGTCTGTGCTCTTAATCACTACACCAAAGGAGATGCTGGAGACGGAACCTGGGACTTTCTGTAGACTAAGCAGATGCTCCACCACCGAGTCACAGCCCATACAATAACAGTTACAAGAAAAATCCAATTCAAGCCAGAATAAATGAGAAACACATGTCTCTCCCTCCCTTCTGGGCAAAGGTTATTTTTGGATTGTTGTGAGGACAAAAGGGGGGCAGAGAGGGGAGAGTCATGTATGCTGGTCTGAATTCCAAGACAATGATTGTAAGATAGAATGAAAAATAGCTCAGTGTCCCAGGTCATGTCCCAGCTCCCTCCTCAGCATCAAGCAGTTACAGCTTCACCTACTCGGTGGGTGCGTTCAGACGGGGTATTTTAACCGGCATAAACTGCTCCGGTTGGAACCGGAGCAGTTTGATCCAGAAGAAACACGATCACACTTAACTCCTGACTGCGCAGCACATCACGATATGCCCGTCCACACTTCAGGTGCTCAGCAGAGTGCGTCGGCGGATTTGTGTTTTTTTACACAGTTTGCGCATGCGCATAGGCTTCCTTATAATGAAGTTCTTTGCGCAGGCACAGAACAACCCAACCCAGAAAGCATGCCTTGAAGCGAAGACGTCCCTTTAAATTTTTACTCTGAAACTGGCCTCCGTGAGGTCCCGGACTCGTCTAAAGCCTTACACTAGGCACCTTTAAAAAAAAATTATTAACGACGGGGTGAAGCTTCGCCCAAGTGCACATCGCATACTAAAAAAAAAAAAAATGGCGGCCAAAAAGCGGAAGCCTCAGGTTTCCGAACGGAAGTGGCTCTACACCAACGGAGAGCGATCAGACGGGGATACTGCGGTTGGAACCGGTGCACTCAGGATACCACCACTTGGGGACCTGGTAACAGTTAAAGGCTGTTTGCAACGGTTAGGGACGGAAGGCAGATGTTCGCCGTGTGATCGCCCGTAAGTACACCGATTCCAACTGGCATCTATACCAGCATAAATGCCCCATCTGAACGCACCCAGTAAGTGGTTTCCTTCCCCAACCGTACCAAATGAACTAGGGAAGGAAAGCGAATTGGCATCAAGGCCAAGAAGGGCTTTTGGCAAAAGGAGGAGAGAGAGACAGAGAGAGAAAAGGAACAACAACAACAGCAACAACAGAACAGCTCAAAAGTTATGTATCCCTCTACTGGGGCCAGACTCTCTTTGTGTACCATACCCTGGCTTTAATTCAGACTGTCGGCGCACCACAGAATATCGGATAGCGATAGTGCAAGCTTTCATCAGAGTGGTTAAGACTTCAGTCCGAATAATGGCCACACGGACCACAATCATAGTCAGGTAGTTAATCTTGTCAGTTCCTCGTTTGACATACTGGCCGTCTGACAGAACCTGGAATTTGAGGGGAAATGGGGTGGGGGGGAGAGAATAGAAAAATGATGTGTATCAGTGATGAAACACAGCAAAGTCGGGTAGGAAAATGCGTTGAAAAACACTAAAGGGAGGGGGAACAGGGCATTTATGGTGTTGGCACTCTGCCTTTGGGATGCTTTCTCCCTTGAGGCTTGCCTGGCACCTATTTCACTTTATTTTAGATGTCAGGCTAAAATATTTTTTTTAATCCCAGGCTTTTAATTAGGGCTTTTTATCATCAGTTTTTTAATGGACTGCTCTGCTTTATGGGTAGTTTTTATGTTGCTTATGTCCAACAGCTTGTGTTTTTTAAATTGCTTGATTTTTTTTTAATAGTGTGATTTTTTTAATTGTAAGCTGCCTCAAGCAGGACTCTGAAGAGATGGCACAGAAATATGATAAATAAATAAAACTTATGGGTGTTGAAAGACAGCAAGTTCCTCTCTGCTGAACCTATGAAATGAAACATTAACTTGGGTGATTGCAATGAAAAACTCTAGAGAAGACAATGGGATAAAGGCAACGTCTGAAAAGTAAGCCAGCATCTTTCTACATCGTCCATAGGTTAGTATTCAGTGTATGTCTTCAGCATAATCTCCAAGGTGTGCGATCCAGCCAATCAGAACCCCTAAGCAACTGCCATGCCTGCATCCGATGATAGTGTAACATTTTCATGATTAATGCATGCAGTACAGTTTATGCTTGACTCTACGATACGTACATTATCTTGGGATCTTCACAGAAAACATTTGTGGGACAAGTGGTAAACAGAAGATGAATAAGCTCGAGGGGTGGGAGTATTTATAAGCTATTGCATCAAAAGAATTACAGGCACATAAACAGGTGTTGATCTGTTACTTGCAGTATAATAATACCATTCATATATGTTGAAGCTGGCATACTGTGATTTTTTCAGAAACTAGATTTTCAGGGCATTGCAAGGAATGACAGAGGGGAACAGCAGCAGTAGTGGGTAGATTAAAAAGGATGACTAGGGAAGGTGTGGCAAGGCGGCCAGTGTGCCAAGGCTCTAGTCCTTTAAGCATTTGAAGCTTTTGTAAGATGCTGCTTACGGGATTTCAAATATCCCTTTACAACCAGACACCTTTTGTTTTAAGGAAGATCTAAGGAATCTTCACAAGGTATCAAAAGTCTTGGCCAGATGAGAGATTCTGTCCTGAAAGGAAACGCTGCTTGCTAGAGGCCTTTGCTTCCCCTGCCCATGGGCACCTGAGAGAACCGGGCCAGCATGTTTTCCTTTGGCACACGAACATTCTTCAGCATGAGATAGCCATTGTCCGTCTGCGCAAAGTCCATTTTGGGGCCGATGTCCCCCACGGTTACTCCTGAGGAACAATCAGACAAAACAAACAGATTACACACATCAAAGTGGTCCACCACACTCAGGGCCGATTCACAGGATACAAAGTCTTCATACAAAGTCCTGTCATGATCTGATGTGTACTAGGAGTTTCCCTCTGGGACACAAATTCCCAAACATACATGACCCCAGTTCAGATGGGGGGGCCATGTTGTGCAGGGACCGTGAGCTTAAGCCTCCCTCCTGATCTGTCTTCTGTCGCGCAGTGCATGTGTTTGTGTGAACCAGCACCTCGAACCCGTTTAGCACTCACAGCAGTCTTTCTCTCACCAGAGGCTTCCAATAGTAAACCACACTTACTCAGTCCAGTGGTAACTATATACAGGAATTTATTTACAATATATACAGCTCTCAGACAAAGTGCTTCACCAGACTCCATCCACCATCAAGGGGGAAAATACAATGGTACATTTCTAGATATATACATATGTCCAGCCAATCAGAACATTGCTGACTCATACTGACTGAGCTTCAGCTCTGCCCAGTCCAAACTGGCTGTATCCAGATTATCACAGCTGTTAGCTGTCAAGTAGATCCTGGAGATCTAGGTGCTGAAACTTATACACCAACATTTTCCTGACCTGAAATGGCTTCCGAGAGCCACTATTTGCCCCATTGGTTAAACACACGTGTAGCTAACGGTACATGTTAAATTTCCCCAATGGGACAAATATCAGCTCCCCGGGGCCACTTCAGGTTAGAAAAATTGTGTGTGTGTGTGTGTGGATTGGGCAGACTTAAGCCTCTTCTCCTCATGCTTTGTGATCTGGATCTAAATCAGGCTTGTGTTGCTGAGGAATTCAGTTCCCAGCAGGAGAACTCCAGGCGCATATCTATAATGTCCTTGTGGCTACCACAAAGATTTTGGATCAATGTGTGAATCAGCTCTAAATGTGCCAGATCCAAAGGTGTTAAAGGGAAGTAACTGTTGAGCTGGCAGGCAGGAACAGCAAGTAAGCAGGCTTTAGCTACAATTAGGTGATCATTTTAGACTGCCGTTTCCAAGGGACATCCTTTACTGAGAACGAAGGGGAACAGTTTGGGGAGAGGAGTTCCTTTTTGGTAACAAAGATGTTTTAGGCTAGATCCCTGGTCCTAGAAGAGAATGACAAGGTTCAGGTGCATTTCTCAAGACTAGTTTATAGTCAAATGTTATGGCAGTACTATTTGGCAATAGTGCACATGGATACTAGCGCTGGGAACACAACACAGCATTCTAGGACAGATCCCTGGAGACAGAGGTCCAGCACTGGGGAGACTGAAACAAAGGCAGTGGAGGAAGTCACCTGGTGCTGGTGAATGATCACGGAGGCTGCGGATTTGCACTATGAAGGGATGTATCCCGTAACATTTTCCTTT